TGGGTGGTGTCACGGGAGTTCAGCATGTGTCTGTTATGTTTTCACACGAAGCTGGAAATGGCACAATGGATCCCTCAAACGTGTGTAGAAACAACTGTTTTGAGGGCATAGTAATACATTGGAACTCAGTTGGGAGCCAAGTGAGCTAGTAAGGATAGGCATCCTTTCTGTTTCATGATCAGTATGAGGTGTTCAAAGGGGATGTGGGTGGGTTACAGCAAATACCCTTTATAAGAGGGCTGTGTTAGTTGTTCTAGGCTGTATGCTGGTCACCCTCATGTTGCAAAGTAAGGTGTGTTTTCCAATTTAGTGGGACCTGTTGGTGCTGCTGCTGAGCTGCAATGTGCCAAAGTTTCCATAACTGCTGTTTTTCTTCACCTTGTTTTGTGTGTTTTCTGTAATTCCAAGGCCTCCATTCAGTGATGTACGACGTTGTAGAGTGCTCGCATGCTTCTGTCTCACTGTGTTTTGTGTCCTGCACTGTTTTCCTGGATTAGAAAGGTTAAGATTCTTTTTCTTTTTGTTTTTTCCCTTCTATGGGGGGTTAAGTCTGTCCAGTCCAGCCCTTCCAACTCCAGCTCCAGCTCCGACTCCAGCTCTGACTCTGATTTCGAGCCATCTCAGAACCACAGTCAAGGTGTGTTGCAAGAAATCAAGTTTGTTAAAATCTTCCTTGCATAAACTGAAAAGGCTCATGAGAATTAAAACCATTTTCTTAGCACTATATATAGATAAGGCTACTATGGTTTCTTGCGTGGAACCATGTGTTGAAGCTGTGATGTTTCACCCAGAACAGGCAGTAGTGTCCTGACATAATCATAAACAAGGATTTTTCTTCTTTTGGCAGTTAATTTATGAGTAGGGTGTCTCTGGATTTGGTTCTTTCCCTTTTGACTTTGGCTTCTGCCTCAGTTTATGAATGTGTTGACTGCTGCTTGGATCTATAGTGCCACCAGGAAAGTTCTCCTCTGGTCTCATATATGTTTTATTAAAAATGAGAAATGTGACATTCGTCACTGTGCCAATACATAACAAAGCTCCTTTTTGCACATCCCTCCGCTGATAATCCCAAGAGATACACTGTGACACTAGTAAATGTTCTAACCTTAGCAAATGCTGTGTGGCTGCAAATGCTGTCTCTTGAGTGACATTTAAAATAGCCCCCAAGCACATGAAAAATGTGTCCTTTTGTTCTCATTTCAGAGAGCAGGAGGATTTGGGGGAGGTTGGGGTGGCTTCACAGCAGTAGTAAAGTTTGTCAACTCTGCTTTAGTTTTGAGACTGGAATACAGTCTCTTAGCAGTAACTTTGTGCAAAATGGGAATACCAGTGACATCTTACTGCAAAATCTTGATGTATCTTAGTAACAACTAATGCAGTTGAGATCAGCTCGGATGGAGTTCTGCTGTGTGTGTCCTCATGAATTGCTTTCTGTGCTCTGATCCCAGGCCCATTGCGCTCCATGGTGGAAGATCTGCAGTCAGAGGAGTCAGATGATGATGACAGCTCCTCTGGAGAAGAGGCAGCAGTCAAAGCCAACCCAGTCAGCCGGGATTCCAGGTGGTAACAAATCAGGAAGAAAAAGATGTTTGTTTGTCTTTTTTCCCCTCCATGTTTGGTATTTTTGTGTGCCCTCCATTTGGAGGGAGGAATCAAAGTGATGTGTTAAAAGTGTGAGAGGAGGAGAGAAGGGGCAGATGTGTGGCGGACTTGGCACGGATGAAAACAGCAGGGTGAGAACAGAATTGGGTGGGGAGAGATCACTGGGGCTCAAAGAGAGGAAGGCCCTGGGAAGAGGTCTGTGAGCTTGCAGGTGTTAGTGACTGAGCCCCTTAAAACAGTCACCTAATTGTCATCTTCAGATCTCTGCTGAGCGGGATGGTGTGTGCCACCTTTGATCTGCAGAGATGAGAGGAGTGGTGTGGAGGCTGTCAGCTCTGCTCACTGCACAGGGCTGGTACAAACCGGAGTGTCTTGGTCTTTGCTGATGGTTGGTTACTTGACTCCTACAGGACTTGGTTTACAGCCATTTCCTGCTTTAGTCAATGGAAATATTTGAACTTCATCTTTCTCCCCTCAGGAAACACTGTTGTAGACAAAACCTGGAGTGACAAACTGAATATTTGAAACCAAATGCTTGGCCCAGAGAGCAGCTGCAAGTTTCAAGTGATGCTTGTGTTCGCCAACACCCCCCCAAAATCCATTGTTGCACTCTTGTTATTGGAGAGACTTTGGAGGATATGTTTAGGGGATAGGTAGCAAGCAGTTTGTCAGACTCATCAAAAGTTAGGATACCTGCTATAATCCATATGTAGGCCCACGAGAAGAATGAGAATAAATAGGTAATCTCAAAGGTCAAACCAGAAACTGTAAATGTATTTTTTGGCCATGGTCTCAGTGGAGGTGTTGGTAGGACCCGACCAGGGAATGGAAGATGACAACGGTGGTGTCAGGTGGGGAAAAAAGGGATTCTTGGAAATCACAGGCTGACCATTTTTCCCAGACAATTTACTAGTCTAATAAAGAAGAGAATTCCACTTAACTCTGTGGTTTAGCCGACAGCTGAGTTAGTTCCCCACTACCTGGTGATGCTAATTCTCTGCTGCTTGTCTTTCAGACTGAGCCTTAGTGACAGCGACAGCGATAACAGTGCAGATTCCTGCCTGCCGAGTCGAGAGCCACCTCCTGGTCAGAAACTACCCCCTGCAAATAATAAGGTACAGCAGCATCCTGGGTGCCATACAGGGCTGCTTCCCACCACTCTTAGTTCCCGCGGTGTGTTCAGTCCGTGGTGTTAGTTCTAACTTGCACCAAATCTTCCCTGTTTCACTCTCCACCGGACTCATAGTTTCTCTTTCTCCAGTGCTGTGTGTCCAAACCATTAACCCACTGTGTTGTCAGAACTAATTTTGGTCCCTAATGTTGATTTCTTTTACCTTTAGGCATCTGGAAGAAAAAGCCCAGAGTCTTGTAACAAGCCAGAGAAGATCCTGAAGAAGGGCACATATGATAAGGTATGTTTAAGGAGTTGCATATTGTAGAATTGTTGGATGCTTGCTAACATTTCTGTGTAGAAAACAGTTTTTGTTAGCACAGCCTGTTCACATGGTTCTGTCTGGGCAGGTTAAAAGCTTGAGTATAATGAAAACCAGTTGTTGAAAGGCCAGGCTTTGGAGAGTGACACTGCAGAAGTTGTGTATGTTAAATAGATGTACCCCCAGGATGTTTCCTTATGCAAAATGTTAGAACTGTTTTAGTAGTTTGCCCTGTGTCTGAACCAATGGTCTGGCCACTGCTGCAGTGGTGAGGCCTCTTCCTTAAAAGTGCATTTTCATCTGTCTTTGATCTGACAAATGAAAGGTTGTTTGATGCTCTGCTTTGCTGGTTTAGTTGAAAACTTGCTTGTTCAGTGCAATTCCCTTCTTGGTAGCCTCTGAAGGAAGCAGAGCAGTGTGTGTGCTCTCAAAGGACAGCTGAGTCTTAGGCAAATCACCAACCCCCAAGTTGTCCAGAGAGTTCTCCCACTGTGGTATTTCTCATAAAGAAATCAATCAAATGGGAACTTAATACTTTACCTTAGTCTAATTATTGAGGTCCTTGCAGTAATCAGAGGATCAGATTGTAGCTCTCACTTGTGTGTGTTAACACTTGGAATGGGGGAACACAGCACAAATTCATCACTTAATGTGAGGTGTAAGTGGGATCCTAAAGATACTTGCACCCCAGTCTCCTGCCAGCCACAGAACCTGATGGTTCACCCATAGCTGGGGTGACTTCTCTGGGGCAAGGTCTGTAGGTGATACTGTCTTTTATTAGACTGCTTAATGCACGTGGCAGGGGACACCCTTGAGACACACTGAAGAGAGTGCCTGAAACACCATCCTCTTGTCCAGCTGCCAGAGGTTTCGTAGAAGACAGCAGCTGTCCCAGGAGCATGGCATTCAGTGAGGGTGTTTGGTGCTTCTTTGTGTGTCAATGTGCTGGGGATGGGGATGATTCACACATTCTTGGGGGTCAGGAAGTGAGTTTGGGATTATTATACTTTTTTCCCTTGGTAAAATTACTTAAATGAGTTTGGTTTTGCTGATACAGACATGAACAACTCTGGGGCAGCTTTACAGATTAAGACTCCATCCCCTGGGAGCAATAGTGCAGTGGCAGAAACGTGCCTGGTTGGCTGCCTAAATTAAAATAAAAGAAATAAGAAAACCCCAACACCCTTATATGAGAGCAGTTACCATGCTGAGCTTGTAACCAACCCTGCAGTTCCCCCTGAGCATGTAAAACTACCCATGGGTGCAGCACACTCATAGAGTCTTTCTTTACCCAAACACAATTTGTTGCTCAGCAGGTTGCTGGGAACTGATGCAGGTACTTTCAGGTAATGAGTAATTTATTAGTGCACCCTGCTGATGAGGAACTCGCACTGAAGTTCACCAGGGTGAACTTCACTTCATTGAGGTCCTCTAAGCTCAAAGGTTCTGACTGCTTCTTAAAGCTGGTTATAGGCATTTGGTTAATGGTGTCATTAAATAATCTTGCTGGTGGTCTTCAGACCATCTGTATTTCATAGAATCATGGAATGGTTTGGGTTGGAAAGGACCTTGAAGTTCATCCAGTTCCAACCCCTGCCACGGGCAGGGACACCTTCCACTAGAGCAGGTTGCTCCAAGCCCCTGTGTCCAACCTGGCCTTGAGCACTGCCAGGGATGGGGCAGCCACAGCTTCTCTGGGCACCCTGTGCCAGCGCCTCAGCACCCTCCCAGGGAAGAGCTTCTTCAGAATGCCTATAATCTAAATCTGCCCTTTATCAGCTTGTGAAGTCTTTATGTGAACTGATGTGAAGTCTTTAGTCCTCCAGTACTTGATAAGGATGGAGGAGGCAGTAAAAAATGTGGGGAAAAAATTGGGAATAGGAGCATGTGTGAAAGGGCCTCAAGTTCCTCTGATCCTCACTAGAAGGATCACTTTGGCAGTCACTCAAACATGTCACATATGTCACTGTTTCTGTTCGTGCCTCCTTTACAGGCCTACACTGATGAATTAGTGGAGCTTCACAGGCGACTAATGGCACTACGAGAGCGCAATGTGCTACAGCAGGTAGAGATCATTTGCCAGCTCTGGCAGGCTGTTGTACTCTAACCTTTGTGTCCAAGGGTCTCAGCTGGACCCCTGTGATGCTTGACCTTTCACTTGCCTCTCCTTCAGGAGAGGGTCTGCTGCTCTTTGAAAGCAAAAATGTGTAGAAAAAACCCCACTAAATCAGATGTGCATGCAGTGGTTTTGTTGGAAAAGATGCACAAGTGTGGTTTGTGCATCTCTGCCATCCTAGAGTCCCAAAGCTCTCTCAACCTAATTTAAAAGGCAAGAAATGTGCCCATGTCCCTTCCTGGACTGAGCTAGTGCAGAAGGAGCTGGTTTGCTTTTTTGGGAGAGGATTCCCTTCGTGTCATGAGACGTTCTCTTCTCTGAGGCTGTTGTAGAGGGGTGAGGGAAGGACAGGGTGGGTTGCTCTGTATCTGCTCTATGGCTCCCTGTCTACATCCTTGCTTGTCTCCTTTCTGTACAGATTGTAAATCTCATTGAGGAAACTGGGCATTTTAACGTTACCAACACAACCTTTGACTTTGACCTCTTCTCCTTGGATGAGACGACCGTCCGCAAGCTGCAGAGCTACTTGGAAGCGGTAGCGACATGACGCTTGGCCTTGGAAGCAGCTGCTTTTGAAACCAGAGATCCCCTTGTTTGGTACCAGGAAACGAACCCATGGAACTAGGCCTTCTTATTCTCCTGATTCACCCGAAGCACTGCCTTAGAGAACAGCCATGCTCTATGAATGCACAGCCAGCTGCACTTTCTTGTAGGCTTCAAACAAGCACCCGTATTGCTGAGTCTGTCCTCCCTGGCTTTCTACGTACGCTTGGGCGCAGATCCCGAGTAGAGCAGAAGACGTGCTGCACTTAACCGCCCGGCACGACCTTTTTGGTTCTACTTCAAGCAACTGTGTTTGAAGAGCACGTTTTCAGGCGTCTCTGAGGTCTGAAGAAGTGTGGATGATGTTTTCTTCACCAAATCTAGGGACCATCTGCCTGCGGAGAGCTCCAGCGAGTCCCGTTGCCTCCAGCTCTGCGAGGAAGCGTTGATGCTGTGTAAGTAAGATTGGCTTTTACAAAGCTTAACCCGAGAGCCTGACGCCAGAGGTGGGTCCCGCTGCTCTGCTGCAGAGGAGATGGACAGATCCCAGTTGTGATCACTTGCAAGCTCGTTCTGGCGCGGTTCGGTGCAGAGCACTGCTGTAACGTGGCTCCTGATCTCTCCAGGGCATCGTTCCACGGGCAGGACCGTCAGCTTCCTGCAGAGACAGTTCGTGCTCTTTGAAGAGGCCTCTAGAATCTGCTGTCTCCCGCTGGGGTTTGGAGATGTCTTGTTTTGTTGATCTGAGCTCCTAAACAAAGTCTCACTCCTTTCAGTCTGCTTTAACTGTAATAGGACTACAAAACTGTAAGCTGTATATTTTATATATATATTATATATATGTATGTACTGTATGTATAAGAAGGGCCTAGTTGGGTCTTATGATCTTAAGGGTGTGTTTTTCTGTTCTGTTTTCTAAAGGCTCTGGCAGGGGAACGGCGCTTAATAACATTTGACTTGTTTGTTAAAATGCCTCTTGTGGACAATTTCTAGTGTGTGGAAGCCCAGCAGCAATCTTGGAAGCATTCAGTGCTTCGGAAGGGGCTCACCTCTCGTCTCCTCACTTGTCAGTGTTTAAATAACTTTGCCAAAAGACGTGATTGGTTTTGTTCTTATGTTCTCAAAGAGGAATCTCCTACAGTGGCCCCTATAGTAGTGGCTATACTTTGGGAAAACCAAAACAAGGGAGAATTTTATCTTTGGACACAGCTGGAAAATGCTGACGTAGGAAATGAGTGAAGTTGGGTTTGTTTCCTCCTCCCTCTCCCGCCCTGCTGCCTGTTCAGGAAACAGTAAACACTAATCCCAGACCTCTCCTATATTTCTAGTTAAACTAGTGTTGGCTTCCAAGTGTTGTCTAGGTGGGTGTGTGGAAAGTCCTGGAGCTTTCATCAAACCTGTATTACATTCCCTCTCCCAAAACTCAGTATTTTCTTGAAGAATTGCTCAGTTTTCCCCATCAGTGTCTAAGCTGTTGCCAAATGAGAGGTGTGCTGCGGGTGCGAGGAGGAGCGCGGCGTTCCCGAGGATCCCTCTGCTCCGAGGGGCCCCTCCAGCTCTGTGACAGCCCCACGGGGGGAGCTGGGCAGCTGCATCATGCCAGGGTCTGCTGTGTCCCTTCTCCATTCTCAAATCCAGTCCCTTGTTTTGGATTCCCCCTTTCTTTATCATGGAAATGTTGCAACTAATCAACTGAAGTGGCAATATGATGATAAGCTTGTTTGAGTTGGGTCATGTTGACCCGATTCCCATTAATTTTGTCGTTGTACCATCTTTCATGTGTCGTGTGTGTGTGTGCGTGTGTATATATATATCTATAAATAGATATAGATATATATATA